ACTTGTCAGAGACCTCACAGGGCTTCCACTTTGTAATTAGACTGTACAGAGTCAGTATCATAGCCATTGTGCTGGAATTTAAAGCACGAAGGTGTAGGCTTAAAGCATTATTTGCCTAAGGTACAATGTGCACTTAAGTACGAAAGGCAAATCCGTGTCAGAGTGGGGCTAGAAGAACAGAAAGGGCGGAACAGCATATTTCCTGGTGGTGCAACTGGTTAAATTAGTGCAGCACTGTGCAACTGTCCCGGCCCCTGCAGCACCAGTTCGATCCCCGGCCAGGGAGTGACCCCAGGGCGTAGCAGACCTCTCCTGACCTGCCCGCTGCTCCCCTCAGTAGTGTGTTTCAGTTAATCCTCCTGTTCGGTGGCCTGTACCCCAACTCTTATATGCATAAATAGATTTTTTTTCAGATTTATTTATTCATACAGAACTGGGGTACAGGTCAGAGATGCGGAGGGTGAGAGGATTCAACAGGGACAGAGCGGGGAGCAGAACAGGCCGACTGATGAAGGCCACTGCTGAGGGGAGCAGCGGGCGGGCCAGGAGAGGTCTGCCGCGCCCTGTGGTCACCTCCGGGGCAGGCGGGGATCGAGCTCATCGGAAGCGGCTTTAGCTTCTCAGTGCAGTGCTTTAACCCGCTGCGCCGCCAGGGAGGGCCATAAATAGATTTTTTTTAATCTTAAAAAAAAAAAAGCATATTCCAAATGATTGAAGGAGGTGAACTGTTTTTGTTCGGCGCGGTGAGAGGAGAGCTATGTTAATACCCGTTGGGCGCCGGCGGCTGCCACACAACACAGGCTAATTTTTCATGGATGTCCCAGGACATCCTCGTTCAAGCTTAGGAAATGCGCGGTGCGAGCCCGTTTTTCAGCAGGGGAGGCTGTGGGTCTGGCTCTCAGAGACCGGCGCCTGTTCAAAGCCAGGGCTGTGTGGCCAGCGAGGCCTGCAGGGCGCAGGCCTGTGGGTGCCCCGCCCCGGCTCTGCTCGCTGGGCAAATCGCGGATTCCCCACTGCCCTGGCTGGGACCTGATTCTGCTCCCCCAGAGGACAGGAGTAATCTTCCTGCTGTTCTTATTCCAGGAGTTACAGTTCGAAAGGCTGACCCGAGAGCTGGAGGCGGAACGCCAGATCGTGGCCAGCCAGCTGGAGCGATGCAAGCTGGGGTCCGAGACCGGAAGCGTGAGCAGCATCAGGTAGGCGCGCGCCCCTCGGCTCCTGTCCCCGGCTGCTGGCGGCCGAGCGGCCGGGCCTTGGCGCCGGGCGGTGGACCGGGAACAGGGGAGGTGTCCGGCAGG